CCTTGATTACTTGTACGTATTTTCAAAGCTCCTCATAACGGGTTTTAAATTCCTTTTTTCTCCCCTATGTTTTACTTGTACAACATTTCTCATTGAGAAGGGAGTTGGACACGGTAACAATATTGTGTAGACACAATATAAGCTTAGGCCTATGGTTAATTGTCTGTGTTCTATTTTCCAAATGTATTATCGGCTTTCAAGCTATGATCTTTGCCTGAGCCTCTTCTCTGCTAAATTTTAATGTTAACTGTTTTAAAAAATTACATTTATGCCCGTTGTAGGTTCAACTGTAAGGTCAAGCACCTTTTACTTTATAAATTGTTGCCAGTTGTTTGAAGCTGCACTGTCTAGGTAATTTATTTGTCTGATCTGAATAGGAAAAGCAACGTATGCTTTCTACAAGGTCAACTTTTTCAAGTGTGAAGTCTTGAAAATTCCACAGAGACTTTTGAATGCCTTTGTCACACTGGAAAAACTGCAAATACTTGAGTTTTATGTTTTCAAGAAACGAAATATAGAAACTTCTTTAAACACTGCAGAATTTAACTTACAAAAGATGTCCAAGGGATTTCTAACATGAAACCCTTAAGTAACACCCAGAACAGGTGCAGAAGACCTTGGGATGTTTTTTCATCTTCTAAGATGCATTTTAATGCTTTATTTCACTTCATGCCAAAAAAAAGGATGGCTATAGATTTTTTTAATAAAGCTGACAGAATCACCAGAAACTAAGCATGAAGACCATAAGTAACATCTGCAATAGGCAAGAGAGGGCCTTTTAATATTGTTTCTGTTGATGCACACTTGGTGTGGTGTTGACAGTTGTGTAAACCCCTCCCGTTTAACGAAATATAACAGTTCAGTTTGAAATGACTCCGAGTTCGGTGGTTTAGCTGATTGAATGTTTTGATGAGTTACCAGAACGAGCAGGACACTCGCATGCAAGGATGCTCAAATGTTTTTGCAGAATACTCGGTCAGCTAAGACCTTCCTTCCTGACTATTTTGTAAAGACTCGAGCATTTCTGCTCATTTTTGTTCAAATACGCAGTGCCCAACCCGTTGTCAGAAGTCAAGTACTCTGACCACATTTTTTAACTATACCCATTTGCAGTTTTGAGTGCACCTGTCAGAGAAAATGCGCTATTTTGAAAGACTTGCATTGTCATGTACAAGAACAGTCGTACCAAAGGATGGGTGTAGTTACGGCTTATGAAATATGACAGATGCAAGAAGGAAAACTCGACCAAGCACTTAATTGGAAACTTTAATAAGTTTCATATGTGGACGTTAATTGTTTGGTAGCCTGAAATAGAATAACGGTATTACATTACTGTGCAAGGTAACAGTGTTCCGGAAATTCAATGTAATTATGTAGACGACTTATTCTACACTAACGCTTGAGGTTAAAGTGTCAGCTGCTCAAGCGGAACAAACTCCAGGTTTTCTCAGCCGATTTCAGCAAAACGACGATCAATTTAACACAAGGCCCATTTATTACCCCATGCGACAAATTAAAGCAGCCACGAATTCAGGCATAAACAACATTTATTTGGTTCATGTATGGCCAGAGCAGTTTATTGTCCAAAAATTATCTCATCCATAATTGTTTTCTGATCGTAGCGACTCTCCAAAACCTACTTGCTTTTTTGCAATCGCAAATTGTAATCACATTTCTATCTTCGACCTTATCAATTCGGTTCAGACTACCTTTTCGGTCGCTGCGATCCACGAAACATAAATGTCGCGCTCCCATTCTTAAATCGCCTTCCGGTCGTTGCGATTCGTGAAGGCTAAAATCAACGTGTGTGGTTCTTATTGCTTAATTCTTAATTCTTATTGCTTAATTGCTTAATTCGTCTCCGGTCGTTGCGATCCGCTAAACATGGTACGGCTCTATTTCATATATGTTTAACTTGCCTTCCGGTCGCTGTGAGCTGCGAAGGCTTACATCAACGATTAGTTGCAAAATCAGACGTCAAAGCAGGGATTAGTCTGTTCTGAAACTCCAAAACAAAGCCGATTATATGTTATTATATTATGACGTCCCCAAACCACCTATTAAACAAGCTTTCCAAGTAAAAGATTGAATCCCGACATAAATTTCTTCCCCAATAAATGAATCACATAACTAATGTTGCCAAGTTTAACTTAAATCAATGAACACGCTTCAGGCGTATGACGGCGTCCAGGATGAAATTCTGCCGCAACAAGAATCCATTTCACAGAAGGGCGAAAACCTTCTGAAAAACTCTCTGACTGCAGCTCTGACAAATGCAAAGAGAAAAAACAGGAGGAAATTCCCTGCCAGCTTCCATGTAGGCAACCAAGTAATTAAACTTAAGAATTAGCTCACGGCAATTTGACAAGTATTAAGAAGACTTATTGTTTAGACTTTCCAACAGGTGGCAGATAGGGGAGGCGGTGGGCTTTGAAAATTAGTTAAGAAGAACACTTGTCTAAACCGTCGGACTAAACTGCTCGGACGAAAGTGGCCAACTTTGCTCTGCGGTTCTGCCTAAAATAGGCAGCAAGGCCTTGTATCAATTAGCTAAGGACCACACATGTCCGTGGGAAAGGAGTGTTTCCTCCGGACCCAAATACCTGAAACCGTCTTGCGGGCGATAAATTCTTTGAACCCTCATGGGCCTCAAAGGAGTTTAATTCCTTTGGAAGAATGCTTCTTCACGTGAGCATGATATGAGCATGGGTCAAGTCAAATCAAAAATCTTTATTACATCCTGCATGGTTAACTAAAATGCTGGCACCCAGAATTAGTTCTATAACCGCTAAATATAGAAATACAGGAAAAGTCAGATATATTTAAAACCATTAACAATTCCTTATACTATGTGTGAAATAACTTTAAAATATATTAACATCTAAAACATTTGTATCCAACCTCAGTACATTCTACAATTAACGCTGAATCGCAGAATTATTGCACGAGGGATGGAGGAGAGTTTTTTTTTATTTGAATTTTTTTTAATTTGATACCTGATGACGTTATTATGGTGTCAACCTTGTAGGCACACCTTGGGATCAGAGTTGATAGTCATACCAACATTCAGGTCTCAGGAGAAAGAAAAACAGTGCTGATTGCGTTGAACCTAATCCTCATCTAAATACATTGGTTCGTGTACCTCCCGTTTTATTGGGGTAATGTGAATTTTGATACACCAGCACTGCAGTACAGAAAGGTAGACGCTGTTAGTAAACGAAACGTCCTTACAGGCATTGGTCGCATATTGGCAGCCGAAGTTGGCAAAACATTCACATTTTGATTGTTCACACGTTTTGCTTCGAAATGCATACTTTGCTTTATCATTTAAATGGGCGGAATTTTTATTGGTTATTTGGTAGTCGCGTTATAGGACTAGTGTCATTTGACTAAACCTTTGAACTCTGGGTGCAGTTTTGCCAGAGTACGTACTTGTGGCATTGCATAAGAAAGCCTTCTACGTTAACTTTACACTGCAGGTCTCTGACGTTGAAGATTAAGCCTTGGTCTTAATTAAGCCTTGCGGGTCAAAGTCTTGGCCTTGATGAGATCAAAACATCTGTTCCAACACTGGCTTGTATTAAGACTGACATGTGAAATGACATAAAGGATAACGCAATCATATGATATCTTAATAAAGTCTCCATATTTACTAACATATTCCATTTTTATCCGAGCTACATTTTGACAACATTTTGAATTCGCAAGTTTATAGACGTGGTCCGGGAACTTGCCTAGGTTAATGCGCGTTCATTTAAGAACATTAAAGAGAAGCTGTCAGGGAGAACATTTAACCCTAACCCATAGGATATATGTAGAAATCATATTGTAATTGGAGGACCTGAAGCACTATTAGTAAGTCTTTATCATGGAGCTATTATACACAAGGAGTAAGCGCATATAGAAATCAAAAGGGTCAATACTCAATGGTGGCCACTGCTCGCACTTCATGTGACGCAAGGCCAAAACAAATTATGCGCCACTTGCGGGCTATCAGTTATGCTTATTACCACACATGTAATCATTGCCACGTAATTCTGTTCTCGACTGCTACGCAGTATTAACTCGAATATTTTTCAAAAGTTCCTCAAGCCAGAGTTGATTGATCGTAATTGTGACAACAGATTTTCAGGAGGCCTATTTCACATCAAAATATTATGAAATGCAAAGCGACAATGCTTAACTTGCCGTACATGTATAATTATGCTATGATTTCTTTTGGTAATAAAAAAGACATTGCAGCAAGATTGTTTGAGATACAAGGCCAATGCAGGATATTTTGTTGTTATGTCCTTTTGTACAGTTTTTAACAGAATTAAGTTTTAGCGTGTTATCTGCAACCAGGTACAGATTTTACGTGAGGAGTTTGTCTTTTGGGGTCTCCATTATCTATACTTGTATGTGTAATCTCTAGTTGTTAATTAATGTTTTTAATCTTGTAATATTGTAAAATGTGACCCGTCATGACAAAATGAGAGTAATGTCGCATCCCGCTCTTTCCTATTTTGAGGGATCAAAGTTATACTGAAGTGGGGGTCAATTTTGGAGCTTCGTAATATTTGGATAGAGTGACTTGTCTCCTATTCTCAGCAATTTTGGCGATAGCATTATTCTTGCCCGGTTTGAAATGTTGAAACAATGTTGGGAACAAAGACACAAAGCTGTTAGAATAATGTCACATTGTCACCTTATACTTTTACCCTAAGTGTTCCATGTACATACCATTGGAAAGTTCTCATTCTGCAGAATTCAAAAATACCAATATCTCAGTTTTTTTAAAAGTCTGACTTTCAGCTCATCATGATGTGGTGACAGGTCACAATTCACATACAATTTTACCTATATTAGGCCACGATGAGGTGTGAAAAATAAACCAACCAAATCAAGTTATATCGCCAGATTAAATACAAATGAAGTTATATTTGAGTAATGCCTTAGCTTTCCAACTGGAAAAAAAGAAGCTTTGCATTTTGTCAATGGGTCGGAGTATATTCATTCCTAATGATACTGTTAGAGAAGTTCCAAAACTTTCTGTGTGAGGAGTGGTGGGCTACGTTTGCAAATGTCAGGTGTCCTTCAGTGGCCTGCGCCTTGCCAAAACCGCAAAGTGGGTAGGGGTAGAATGTGTACACAAATACTGATGACTTAATTCCCAGAAGATTGCCTACATCGTTCTACCGCTTCGGCAGGTTATCCTCAACTTTTTCGAGACGCATGGTGTTCTATATTATAGCCGCCAAAATTGTGTCGACGGCGATGGCTACGTCGCGCAGTGGCCTCGCCTCAATTATTCGTGATTGGTTTGTTTTTGTTTTGTTTTTTGTTTATTGTTTACTTTAAAAACAGATCCCAATATGAGGAAATTTTTAAAAAGCTAGTATTTATGTGTCGATAATATATATGAATTAAGACTATACTTTTTGATCTCGTTATAACTGCGTGCATCTCAAGCCTATTACATTTAGAAATTATGTAAAAGCGCAGCTGGCTAAAAAAAAATCACCCGCAAAACAGACAAGCATAGACTGCGGAGTCGCTGTTCCGTACAGCATTGATATCTGCAGAATGAATGTTGTAAAGCCGGCACTGTTTTCCAGGCGCTATGTCGAAGGACAAGCAGCCGGCCTTGTTGAGGCATCGGAGCGCGCAGAACTGCGGAGTTCCTGCAGCCACGGTGGCTAGGAGCTGGCTCGGGTTGGAGATCAAGCCATCTTGGTGTAGCAGTCTGAAGGTGGCTGGTTTCCACGCAGGTCCTGATAGAATAATGGAAGAAAAACCTTCAAAATAAAGTACTGTAGTATCTGCAAGGCGTCATGGAGCTTTGACTGGACATGCACGTCACGCGATCTCATATAAACTTTGTTGAGACTTTATGTATGCTAAATGGCGGAAGTTTAGACCAAAGGCGCCCTTCCATATGCGCGTCAACAATTGTACCAATCATTGCGTAGCCTAATCGCCTTTATCCCCTTTCCTATATAATATATATTTTCCTGTCATTCCTTTTCTCTTCCAATTTCCCTTAATCATTTTGCCGGGGGTGGGGGTTGAGGAGGGAGCGCCCTCTCAAATGTAGCCGCCCATGAAAGGAGTACCACAGGGAAAGGCGTGTTTCGAATTTATTTAAGTAATTAATAGAGTCCTACTCTGAGTCTAGGCCATGCTGTCAAATTGATTAGTCTGAAATAGAGGCATTCTCTGTTCTGGATATAGATTTTATAATTTTGCATGTGCAGAACCTAGGTAGCTCTTCTCCGGGAAATGTCAAATTTGCTCGCTATGAATGTCTAGCCTAGATCAAACTTAAAATAAAGTAACACGTGTACGAAGGGGTTGTCTGTCTGCTTATCTGTCTGCCCCTTTGCAATATGTACGTTTTTACTGCGTTGCGTACAAATCGATTCCGTTAACATAACATGTCACACGAGTGCGTTACGTTCGGCCGCCAAAATCGACCTGGGAGTGATTTTGACGGATAGGCCATACCAATTTGCCTAGATAAAAACCTCAACAACCGGCTTAACCTATAACACGGCTCATGATGCTGCTGGCAAAATGCACTTTCGAATGATGTGCTAGTCTTTGACCCATTGGCTGTACGCCCGCCTCGTGATCAAAAGGTCGGCTTGACCTGAGGCTAGTGTCCACAGAATATATATGCGGCATCCGTAAGCACGCGGCGGTTACGGTTCCGTGTTTCCGCTTTTCGCTCGGAAAGAAAACGTAAGAGAGAGATAGAGCATACAAAAAGATGGAAAAGATCTTCCCTTGTGGCAAGATATTGAAAGATTAACATAGGAAAAGTCAGTTGAGAAAGAAACACGACATCATGTCGTACTTATCGATGTGCGACATGTCGTACGACATATTATGTCGTGCATATCTGTTGAAATCGCTCACGGGGGATTTTGACGGCCGAATGCAACGCACACGTATGCTATGCTGTGGAGTCGATTTTTGTGTCCGTGAACGTTAAGCGCAAGAACGCATCATATGCAACGCACCATAAAGTACAAATGGAAAGGCGTCTTAATTCGAACATGTTCGGTGCGTTTGAGTTGGCGAACGGTCTACGCACCGTATAAATGCAAAATGGTTAAAAATTGCTCTCGAAAAGAGTGACTTTCCTATAAAGCCACTCAGGATGACTTCAAAAGCACTCTAAAGAGTGAAATCCACCCTTTAAATACGGGCAATTCACAGTAGTGCGCCTCCAAGAATTTGCAACCGATCACAGTGCGCGAAATCTGTCGACTCAATGCTCGGCCGGGTCCATAGGTTTAGCGCCTTGTGATTGGTCAGCGCGTTGCAAACTCTTGGAGGTGTACTTTGGTGTATCGCCCGTATTGAAAAGCCATATTGTAATCACTGACACCACAAACTGCATGATGGCTCATGAGGCCATGTCAGAAATGGGCTTCTGGGTCCAGTCCACTCAAGCCCCATTGAGAACAGTGCAAAATCAGCATCGTTCAGGGTCCAATGGCATGCACGCCAACATCCCTGAGATTTCTGAAACACAAACGAAATTCTTGTCTGGTCGCTTATCTTTCAATTTCTTTTCAATTTTTTGTGGGTTAACCAATTACATTTTTAATTATTCCCACAAAACAAAATCACCCCCCAAAAAGTTATTTTTCCAAAGTCTGATTGCAGCCATTTTTCAAGTGGCAACCCTCAACTTTCTCGGGCACTTTGGACCATTTTTCAACCGTAGTGTTTAGCCCTTCTGCTCTCATATGAAAGCTCAAAGACCCAGGGAGTTGATCCTGGCAACGATTTACACAATCTCACCATTTTGGGGGCCAAACAATCTCCTTTTTCAAAAGATACTGTGGGGCACCTTTAATGCTAATGAGCTGGTCAAAACTTCTCACTTGAATTAGTGGTCTGCACCCTTCTAGAGCTATGGTCAGTTCTATTGACTACGTGTCTCCGCACATTCCCAAGCATCGGGAGCAAAGACCTAGATCTAGCTCTTGACAACTGATTCGGATGCAGCCTCACACTCATCTGCAAGCGGGCGTCAGCTTGTGAAAACTGACGCATGCGCACATCGGAACCAACGCGAAATAGACTAATTTATTTTTCACGAGGTGCCACTCAAAGCCTGTCGGGGCAATACTGGGCGGTGAAAAATAGGTGGTTCTTGAGCTCGTGAAATCACCTTTTAACTTCCAGGACTGCTCTTTCACTGTTTTGGTTTGGTTTGGCTTAGTTTGGCCTGTTTGCATTAATGAGGGGCTACAGAAAAGTTGGAAGGCGTGGTTTGTCTCTCCTTCACACTCTGGAAGGAAGTACCTACTTAAGGGGATACATTATTTACTTAATTTTTAGTTAACAAATGTTAACAATCATTTACCTTTTTTCCTCCATTTTAAACTTCGATGAATCCACTCTAAGTTTCGATTTTCATTTGATCGAAAGAATGACGTCAAAGAGGCATATCAGGAAGGCGTTCAATGGCACGATATGTACGCCAGTAATGACACATACCCTGTGAAACATCATTATTATTGGTAGGCATCTGTACGCGAAGTATCTGTTAGCAGCCAAGTCGCAAAAAGCCCGACCACTGACAAAGGCAGAAGCAATTCTGGTTAGAGTGGTCACTGGGCCCAGCTCGCACAAGCGTAAGTTGGCATCATCGAATGACAAACAACCACAGAGCTATGTATACACGTTGCAATTTCAGCATGCTTAGTTGAAATATAAAAATACTGGGCTTTCTGTCTTTACCAGAACTATAGGGGCCTATAGGTCTGTGGTCTTCACGGAAATGCAAATAACTTTTAAATGCCGCGTCTGAAGAAGGACTTACTGCAATCTTTTATCACAGGTTTCCCGGGTTCAAACATGTCGACCGTAACCTCGGCAACACTCAGAAAAGTCCCATTAGAGGTAGAAACATCCTTGACCAGTGAGACGAATCTTGCCTCCTCAGATGAGTCACACAAGAAAACGTGCACCTCACCTGGATAGCTGCTGCTTACCGGCGAGCCGCAACGGTTGTGAAAGGAGACGAGAGTACTTAGGCCCGTTCGAGCTTCTGTACCTGCAAAGTAATCTCTACCTGAAATAGAAAGCGGGGAAAGAGATTTGGGTGCATTTGAGGTTGCTACTCATTAACTGCGGGCTGCTGGGCAGACAACTAGCAGGAGGACTACCCTCGAGTAGATACAGAACAAGTAAGTATAGGGCACCATTAACATTGCATAAAAGAGTAACACCTATAGGCTAAATTGAAAAGAAAGCATGAGAAGGTGGTGCAACAAACATAATCATTGAATAAACAATTTAGGGACGCCAGACGCTGACCGTTTCAATTATTAGCTGCTTCAGTGTACTGCCGACGGAACCATTTATTATTTTCGTTAAAATTTTGTTCAACTGTCTCGGCTAGCAGCCGGAACAGCTATTGCTTCCCTTAATACTTTTTTTATCTGTAAGGTTTTTTTTTTTATTTTCTTTTGTTTTGTTTTAGCTGTTTCGGTCAACTACCGAAACGGCTTGTGTTTCTCTTAAGATTTTTTTTTCTTTTTTCCCTTTTTTAATCTATTGACATAACAAGGGGTCGTTCTACACACGACTTTAGGTTCTTGCTTTTAACTGATTTTCTTCAAACCCGGAATATCGTTAAAGTACCCCCTGAAGATGTATGCAAAATCATGACGTCATCATGACATCATCACCTGGTTTATGATAGAGTTGAATATTTAACTTTCCCTATATTTTTATACACGTTTTTAATTAAGGCAACATTTTGGTTGTGCAGCAACTCCTCAAAGTTACACGAAAGACAAAAATTGAAGCGAAGATAATAATACAATAAGTACTTCATGGTGAGGTCATCAAGTGATTTATTTTTAAATTTTAAATATTTAAATAATATGTTAACGTTGTAAACATCCAGAGAAAATCAACCGTGGCCTCCCGCAACATTCTGTTTGCAGCAAGTGGCACAGTGCATACCGTATTTCATAATTATGCCCCCAAAGGACAAACTAGTCATTAAGGGTTCACGGTAAATATCCAAAAATGCATTAAATTTGAATGTAAACCTAAGGTTATTTATGTAAACTGTTTATACAGAATAATTGAATTTCTTTATTTGCTTCGTGTGTATAGATATACTTCGTGCTACGGCTGGAGCGAAAGCTAAAGATAGATCTGTTTTCCATGTTAGTTCAAAGCATTGGAATTCAACGTAATTGAAGTTACATGTAGATACCAGAGGCGTGGGTACCAACGATAAAGGAAGCTACTATACAATGAAGCAAGGAAATTAACAGGTGATGGTGAAAAGGCCTATGCCAGTTCAGTCATGCATCAAGTTTGTGAGTGTGAGTTTGTTTCTGCATGCAATTGGGGACCCTGAACAATAGAGGACAATAAGGTCCCCGACTGACAGAGGGTCCCCGATTGACAACTGTGTACAAAACATATGGGTGTTCTTCTAAAAGAGTACAAACAAAAGAGTAACAATAGGGGGTCCCCAGTTGCAGGCAAATACACACTTGTGTGTGTGGGGGGGACATCAATGCACCATCATGCCCGGTCCCCCACTTTAACATTCGGGTCCCCACGTACTCCCCATTTAGTGAGAACCCAAGGTTGCTATAACAATGAATACGTACATATGCACATGTACGCTGTACTTTTGTTCAAGTTCTGACACACATTTTCCAATGCATCATCACATGAACTGCTGCACCTATAATAAATGTTTTCCTTTTGCAATGATACAGATATTCATTGGCACAGATATGAGGGCGGTCTTCACACATGTCCCCGGTATCGTTAATATGAAAGTGCAGTCGAAGCCAGACGGATCCTGAGAAGGGTGGGAACAGCTTCATAAAAATACTCGTAGCAAGACTGCAACTGACAGGAAGTGAGATTTACTTGTATGTGGACACGTAGCCGCTATAATTTATTGAACGACAACGCCATAAATTGTTCAAACTGGTTTCGGAATAATAGTGCAAAGTTATCAGCGAAAAGATCATCATATTTTCAATTGGTCCCGATGTTATTTGAAGTCTCTGCAGATCCTAAGAACAGAAAGAAGTTGGCGGGTTTTATACACTTCAGAAAAATGCCTTAAAACATGAAGGCAGTGTTTTTCCTTCATTTTTTTCAAAACACCCAATGGGCATATTTCTTGTTATTCTCCCAAGACAAAACCATATTATTACTGGTTCTATGTGTTTGATTATCTACGTGTTGATATCAGCTGAATATTTCAATTTCCTTATTTGTTTCTCGTGTATAGACATCCTCCATGCTGCTGCTGAAGTGAAAGCTACAGATGATAGTTCTCCATGTTTGGAATTCAACATCACTGCAGTAACATGTAGATCAGATGCATGGCTACGCATGATAAAGGAAACTGCTGTACAGCGAAGCAAGGAAATTTAAAGGTAACGGTGAAAAGGCTAACTGTTCCACTGATATACAAACAGATTGCCAGTTCTGATTACTGCAGTTATGAAGCAAAGTTTGTGAGTTTGTTTTGCATTCAATAAGGAACCCTAATAAGTCGCCGATTCACAAAGCGTCCCAGATTGATAATTGTGTACAGAATATATGGTTCGTCTTCTAGAAAAGTTTAAGTATGAACAAAGGAAGCACAAAACAATAGGAAGTCCCCATTATACACACCTGTGTGTGTGTGGGGGGGGTGCATCCATGTACCGCCATCATGATTGGTTCCCTCATCAACACCCACTTGCCCAGGCCCCCACTTTAACATTCCAGTCCTAACGTTCTCACCATTCAGCGAGGACCGAAGATTGCTATGCCAGTGATTTGTATTTGTGTTCAAAATACATCAGTTTTTCCATGCATCAGCACGCGTAGTGCTACACTTGTAATAAATGTTTTCCTTTTTTGCGATGATACAGATTTTAATCAGCGCAGATCATGAAGACAATCTTCATGCATGTTGGATGTCCGATATGCAGTTTGAAGCAGGACTGATTGACAGAATGGTGAGAACATCTTTATCAAAGTACTCGTATCAAGATTATTTGAAAAAACTGCAACGAACATGAAGTTATTTGCTTTGCGTTATAGGTATCTTTCACACTGCTGCTGAAATGACAGGAGGTAAATCTATTCTCTACGATGTTGCTTTTTGGGATTGGAATGCAACGTAACTGTGGTTATATGTACATATCAGAAGCACGGCTACCCAAGATGAAGGAAGCTGTTGGACAACAAAGCAATTCAAGGAAAATAACAAGGTAATTAGTTGTTAGAAGGCCTGCTGTTGGATATCGACACACAAGAGATGGCCACAGGGGGACCCATGCAGGTATGTAAATCACTCAATGATCAACATCCACACTGTAACATTCCTAACCATATGTAGCCAAGTGATATCCGAAGTGCTGAAAGTTCTTACACCTTTTTTTTCCATTCATTAACATATAACTGACACACAATGAATTAATATTTCCCTTTTTTAGATGACAGAGAGGAAGGTTTTAAGCACATACGTGAAGGAAGTCTTTCGACATGTTGGTGTGATTGATGAAAATGCAATTTGTACTAAGAATGTTCTACAGAAGGACTTCATCATAATATCAGGATATCTAAAACAAAAAAGTCTAATGCATGAGTACATGTCCCTGGCATATTTTTTCAAGATTTATGCAGAGATTGTCAACACATAGTACAGGCTTTGGAAGCATTATGCAAAGTTTTCAACAGTAAAGTTCCTGATATTTTAAACGCGTTCCCACGTCTTCTTTTTATAAGGCATAAAAACGGAATAAAAAATCACAGGTAGTAAAATGCCCCAAAATACAAATTCAGATTTCTTTCTTTTCTTTATAAATAGTAAGAACGCTTTTAACATTCTTTCACTTTGATAATCTTTCATCTCCAGGACCAGTTTATTGTTTAATATTTGAGTGTAGTTCTGTATGCTTAAATTCCACAATGAGAGTTTGTGCTTCTGAGCACTCGCAAATACCGGTTAAAAGTAATTATTTGTGCAGTTATTTTCAAAAGGAAATAAGATGTACTTTTGAAAGAATTGTGTGAAATTCATGTTTGCAGTTTTTCTTCTCTTCCTTGAAATCGACGTTTCTTAGTTTTGTGTTTTTCGATGGCCGTAATAGTCCCAAAGCCTCTGGTGTTAGGATGATTTTATATGGTCACTTTTGCAAATCCCTACACTGTACAGTAGCAAATCCTCGTTCCGGCAATCAAATCCCTCACGAGAAAACTGAAGTGCGCCCCCACTTCATGAAATTCCACGCTTTGTATTACCTGACTGATAATTTCCCTACGTTCGACCTTATTTTCGACAGGGATCGAGGCACAAAAGTATGGAGTGGATTGAATGAGGCCTTCGCATTTCTGGTGCACTTTTGGTGTGTTTCAAAAACTACACCACTGGTAGTTGTCATATGCTGTTGTGGCATATGCTGGCTCGCGTGTGAATCTGGATCACCACAAAGAAACAATACAGGGCTCAATGATTTTCTGCTTCAGAATTGCAAATTGTTTCCCGAAACTCCAAATTCTGTTTCACTAGTTTTTGAACACATCAAATAAAATTATAGTAATCAAGTATCATTTTATGTCCGGAAATGAAATTTTAGTTTTATTTGGTTTTCTTGTTTGGTTTTTGTTGTTCTTAGAGCCCCGACCATGTGACCTCATACCCTAGCTGAATTGATACGGTACAGTTGAAGCCACCTGTTTGGTAAACTGGCCTTAAAAAACCTATTATTTTGGAGAGTACGTTCTCATACCCTGGTCTGGAGTATTTTTAGTAACTGGAATGTCAAATTCAGCCCCACTGAGTCTGATTATAAATCAGGTAGGCTTCAGACAATATTTTCAATGATGTTAATTAACATCATTTGAAATATGGTAATTGTTGCTTTTACTGATGCCAATATGAAACTGCGAGTATACAGGAATCACCTCCTACTATGTAGTATATTGGAAGTTGTATACTCACACCTTGTTCACTGCACTTCTGGGCTTAATACACAACTCCATGTTGTATGTTGTGTTAAAGTCACTTAAACACAGTGTATATTTGCACATGTGCACGTAGCTTGTGTGACTATATATCCACAGACTTGAAAGCATGCAGGTATCCACGTTTCAGCGCCCCAGTTTTATACAATTTTGACCCAGTCGTTCTGGTGTGCTAGAATGCTGCAATTCAACTGAGTTGTTTTCAAATTTCCCACCCTGCACACAGTGACCGTCCTGCACTAATTGTCCTGAGATCCCAATTGTGAACTTGTAAAGAAGCTGATGTGGTGCACATGTGGTGCAGTGCTATGGGGACTGAGTGGAATTTGTACATTTCTGGTGCACCCATTTGTAAATGAAGATTTTCTGGTGCAGTCTTGGTGCATAGCTGTAACGTACGTCAGAGTGTGTGGTGTACTTGGGGTGCTTTTGCATATTCAGTGATTGTGTGGTGTAGAATTGGTGTACACCAGAGAGGTACCAACTCTGCACCAAATGATGTTGTGTGCACCACAGTTCTGAGAAGGTTGGTTGAAACTTTGTGAGTGGCTTGAAGGGGAAAAGTTTTAGACCCAGGTCGACCTGACATGATGATAACGTGATCGAGTGTCAAGTCACGTGATCTTAAAGGTGTACTCTTTAAAGCACCATATCTCGTAAAGAGTATGTCCGATGGGGTCAAAACCTTGTATATAGCTTGGAGGGGAAAGGTTTCGGCCTCAAATTGACCTGATGTGACTATGTCTCATCGGTTGACAAGTCAAGTGACATTAAAAAGGGGAACTCTACGCAGTGGTATATTTCGTGAAGTACAAGCTCGATTGTGTTGGAACTTTGTATATATAGCTTGAAGGAGATTAAGGGTTCGAGACAAATTTTGACCTGATGTTCTGATGATGTCATCACGTGTTAATTTACGTGACATTAAAGGGGGTACTCTTTAAAGCACTGTATCTCGCGAATTACATGTCCGAGTGGGTTGACACTTTGTGTATAGTTCGAAGTTGAATGGTTTTAAACTCAAATTGACCTGATGTGTTTATGACGTCATCGGGAGACAAGAGAGGATGTATTAAAAGAGCACTCTTTAAAGCACTATATCTCATCAATTACTTGATTGATTGGGTTTAATCTTTGTGTGTGGCTAGAAAGGGAAGAGTTTTACACCCAAATTGACCTTATGCAATGATGACGTCATCAGGCAACAAGTCAAAGACAAGGAGCACTTTTGAAAGCAGCATATCTTACGACGTATATGTCCCACTTGGTTGAAATTTTGAAGATCACTCGAAAGGGATATCATCAGCTGGTGGTATCATTATATAACAAGTCATTTTACCTGTATCGAGATGACATATATTTTAAATATTCCACTAACCAATGTTTGTACTGGATTGTCTATGAACACTTGTCATTAAATATTGTCCGTATTTTGTCAAAAACTTCGTCACTGTAAGGTAAATGAAACTACGGCCGAAGCAGCTGCGTTTGTCCAGAAACACATTTCTATTTGCTTGTCTGTCTGTCTGTCTGTCTGTCTGTCTGTCTGTCGGGCTGTTTGCCCGTCCGTCCGTCCATTTGCTTGTTTGTTTTTGTCGAATTGCAATCCCAGAGTAGTGTGCACCCAACAATCTCCTGCTTCGACATGTAGGACAGAAAGCCTGCCTATTTGCCCCTACTCCTTAAACAATGCTGATTTACCGGGCAAAAATGCGGTTGACATTAGTTGGACATCTCTTTGATGGTTTTGGGACCAATGAACCACTGCTAAAATCTGCTACTGTACTTAAGCTAAAATTGGGTACTTTCAATTTAGTATAGTTAAGTTAAACCATTGGGCACAGCGTTGAAGCCTTTTGATCTCGTCTCCACTTCTCATTGCGCTCCTGTACAGCTTCGCCATTAACTTGTAATCATTCATTAGATGTTAAAATCAATATATATAATATTCAGCCTTTAACACACGTACGCTTCCACATGTTGATGTTACTGTGATAGTAAATGGGGTTATACTGAGCAGAAAAAAATCTACTTCCGGAGCGCTGCGTTTAGCGAACTCAAGCCAGATCTACCGTGACGAAGCCTACAGTTTAGGGGAAGGAAATTCGGAAATTACCTGGACTATATCTGCTTGTGACTTTGATTTGTCCCACGTTGTAGGAGGCCAGCAAGTCCAGTCGCCACCACGGATTTTTATCGCTTCCGTCTGGTCCTGGGTGAGGCATAAAGAAAATGAAAATGACCTCCTATTTTGGATTTAACTCTTAAAAAAGGAATTTTGTTTATTGGTGGCGTGCAGCCTAAAATCACTGTCACTTCTTAACGTGCTATTCAAGGGGGATCTGGCGTCTTATTCTGGTACCTTAACTCGGAGACAAACATTAGCGAAGCCAGGGTTCGCAGAGTTGGAGAGTGCAAAGAGACGGCGATTTTACCAAAGCAGACGCAGAAGTGTGAAAAAGTGGGTTAATTAAGCAGGTGAAAACTGTATTTTAAAATGGACATCAGCAACCCATACTATGCGCCCTAAGACTAATGGAGGGATCCCAATACGACGTTTTTAGTGTCGATCTGCGCACTTCCGCGTTTGAAAACGAGGCTGTAGGCCTATGTGTTAGCTTCAATTCTTAATACAATCAGACGATTGAAAGTAAGGAGTCAAGACACAGAATACATAAAGGTATGGTAAATTCAGACTTGAAAAGGCTGCAAATTTTTGTGAAGAGTCTTTCAGGATGACTCGACACGTAAAATCAAAAGAAAAAAACACAAATTATCGCGAACTAGTGTACCTGCAATGGCCGTGTATGTGCAATGGGCGTGGTTTAAACTGAAGTAGCCTTACTATTAGATACGGCATGTAATGTGTCGACTCCGCGGGCGCATGCAACGAAGTTCAACACAGAGAGCTTCGGTTAGATGCGGATATGCGCAAACGGCGCTACAAGGTGTTGTAAGCAATGCTAAGCAAGGCGTCAAGATACAGAATAAGATGCTTCAAAGGCAAGTAATGCTACTTTTGTTACTCACTTGAACATTGGAAAGTATCAGAAAGGCCATCGACAGCGTAGGCAGCACATCCTTCTTCACAAGTGCTACTTTGCGAAGTAGATGATCCAGAAACAGAAATAGCTGCAAATGAAAAAGTCCAAAAGGTATAATAGACGGGGAAACTGAGTACAGAAAGTTAAATTATCAGCCAAAGATACACTGTTCCTTCACTCTAGCGACGCGTTTATGTGCTTTTTACATGGCTGCTGGATCTGCCCTCCACCTGAGACCGTACCATTTCTCGGGTTTCTGAGCCCCAAGTCCTTCCTTAAGGGATTTAAATACTTCGGTGGTTGTCCCCTAGTCTCTACAGCTCGTAAAACCCACAAAAAGTGCACCACAGTAGCGAGGGGGCTTCGTTTCCCAGGCTATCCTGGTTTTTTGGGGGGGGCTCGCCACGTGCCAGCCAAGCCACAACACCCCCCCAACCAAAGTAACACTTCAGAGACAGCCGAAACAGGCCTCTGACAAGTTTCTGACAGCTATCACTGGTAAAAAATCATTGCACTGCCTGGCCCAGGCACTGTCTTTGTAAATAATCCCTCCTATAAACACATGGGGCTACTTAACACGCAGTCCTATGGGAATGGGCTGGAGGCTCGCTGGATTTTTTTTCTGGCTAGGGGAGGCCATGGCTATAATGTGACTAAACCAGGTTTTATCAGCATGAACAGGGGTAGGATATGATGGTTTTTGCATTTGGACGAAAAAAATGTTTTACACCTTAATTAGCTCCAGTGGCCTCTCTAGGAGAGGCCATTCCCTCTTTAAAAGAACCATTTACCGGAAGGATTATAATACTAATAGACTATTCAAGCAAATTACAAATATTATCATGCATAACAATGGGTTCGTTCTATAAAGCAAAACAAAACCGTTTTGATTTCAGTAAACAATCTTGTATGGTAAGGAGATCTGCAAAGAGCTCCACTGTAGTCTAAACCTACCGGTAAATCGGCCGGGCACGCACTGGCATCGGTCTGCAAGGATGAGAGCAAGTACTAGTAGCCACTGGAACACCATTGTCTCTACAGAGTCAAATGACAGAGTGAAATGGCAGTATCTTTCTACCAGCAAAAGTTTATCTTCCATTTCAAGGCAATCTCGTAGTTTATGTATTTGTATACGTGGACGACACAGAGCTACAAGTATCGCTTACTGGGGGCGATATATTGCATAAAAACACCAGGACAGTTTAGCAAGGCTTATCAATGAGTGTTCTCCTCTTTTTGTAATGGCATTAACCTTCCATTTCCTGCAACATTACCACTCCACGGTAATAAAAAAGGACTGAAACATACCCCTTAGAACCGTTGCAGCCCTATTGCACACATTCCCCCACCATTAGCCATCTTGTTTTCATAACCTCTTAAAAATTAACGATTCGACGAAGGTTGACAGCTACTTTGAAATAAGGCAATAACAGGAATTGATGATAAAAAAGACGTATAAGCACTCTTCCCCTGATGCTGGAGAAAAAGACCGAAGACATTACGTAAATTATCGCCTCAGGATAAGAGGGGTGCATAATATTGAAGATACGGCTTCTTTCCGACACTCATTACTGGACTTCAAATTGGAGTCCATTATAATTGCAACTACCTGACGTAAATCTTCATAATTTGCAGCGGTCGGTGTTGCTACCGAGGGATATCCACCAATCAAGAGTACGGGGGGCTAACGAACTTTAAATTGTTCTCCACAAATTAGATTACACTCGACAACTACGAAAGCGCCTTTCCATATGTACGTCAGCACTTGTGATAAACGTTGTGTATTCGTCCAAATCGCTCCAGGAGCCAATTTAACGACCGAACGCAACGCACACGTGTGTTATGTTTATAATGGGGTCGATTTTTGCATCCGTGAGAGTGTAGCGCATGCGCACATCGTGAACACAATGCACCTCAACAAGGAAACATATGAAAATACGCTTTAAGTCGGATATGCCAAGCTAAAGTTGGCAATGAACGCACCGGGTAGATGAATCAAATCATTGTTTTGCACATGATTTAGTCGAAATTGGGGATTATGTTTGAAATATAACACAGTCTAGGTTGACCAAAGCTAGAACTTCATGGTTTGAATGACTAGGCAAATTTACTAGAATGGTTGTTTGAACACTCACATGCTCACGTGTAAGGACGTCCAAATGTATTTGCAAAAGACTCGTTCAGACTCAGATTTTAACCCTGGAGCAGCCACGCCCCAAAACGAAGACTGTTGTCATCACGTGGAGATTCTCATCACCGGTCAGTTCCCGTTCATGTCGGCACCTGTACGACTGATTTATGGTAGCATACATCCTCCAGGTTCCCTCGAACTACATACATTTCATTATGCATTTCATTATGCCGCTGTGGAAGTTAAGTAATACCAGGTCATAACTCAAACAGCCGTCACCAGTCGTCACATACTTGTAAACAAAGGAGCAGCCACGCCCCCAAAATCACACCATTACCCCATGAGGTGATTGTTGTCTCCAAGTCAGTTTCCGGTCATGCCTGAACGTGTACCACCTGTACGACTGTTTTATGGTAGCTAATAAATCCCCCAACCCCTCTAACCCATTCCATTATTCTGCTGTGGAAGTACAAGTAATACCAGGTCACAACCCAAACAGCTGCCCGCTCAGCACGTGTCTGTCGCCAAAGAGATCCAGTTCCTGATAGAGACCGTTATGGCCTCCTTGGGGTGACTGACCTTTCAAGAATTTTAACTTGGCAGTGGTTGGGGTCTAGGCAATGAGAGTTTACAGCCTTCTGAGGTATGCCCGGGGTGAGGATTACACAAAATCACAAATTGCCCCATTGGGGAAAAAGTTATGACCATATTTGGTGATATTTGTCGATCTCCATCACCGCGCCGTTGAGCCCAGAGTTAAGTATGCGTTCTCTTCTGAATCGTGTTGCGAAGACCGGGACGTTTTCCACAATTATTTCCTGCAATACTCGCCACCCTAAATCGAAATTGCATTGTTAATTGTACCCTTTTGAAGTTTTGAGTCTACCTATCAGAAAATGTGCTATTTTGAATGTCTTTCATTGCTAGAAAAGAACAAGCGTAACCATGCCAGAGGACAAAATCATGTCAAAGGATGGGTGTAGTTACAGCTTGTGAAATCTGACGGATGCAAGCAGCAAAGCTCGACCAAGCACTAGTTTTTAATCGGAAACCGTTTTCAGATTTCGACATTAGTTATTAGGTAGCCTAAAACTGAAACAGAATTCGTGTGTTACATTTACATAAATTGTAACAGTATTCCGGAGTTAAAGACAATTTCAATTGAATTGTACACGTTTTATGCTACACCAAATTTGGGGTTATCAGTGTACTTCTTTTCTTAACGTTCTTGTGCAGTTTGTTTTTCCTGTGGTGATTTATTCAGTTTCTTTAATTTTAGTCATATTTAAAGAAACCAGGAAATAGAAATATTTTTATGAATTTTACTAAAACCCTTGAATTTGCATCTTTGGGTTTCAATTAATATGATTTTAAAGTTTGCAATTTTGTCCCATAGTTTGATGTTTTTTTGGTTTTATGCTAATGAAATTTGCATATTCATGAGCAGAACTATGATGTCATCCAAGGCGCTGAATCTCAATGTTGCACTGATTAGTGCACAGAAAATTTCTAGATTTTTTAACCACTGCTATAGCAGATTTCATTTTTTGTGGCAGTTTATTGCTATGTAAGTATATGGCAATAATCCAGCAAAAATCCTTTTCACAGAAATGTTCCCAGATAGCAAATTTTGGGATTCACAATTTGAACATGAAACCATGCAGCCTGAACCATGTCTTCCTGGATGTACATCAAAGCAAAAGCGCCCTCACTTCTCCAGACGTGCTTGGCCAGTTTTTAATGTTTGAAAAAGTGCACCGTTCAGTTCACGTAACTCAAAAAAAATGTCAGTTTTTATACATGGAAGAAGAGTACAGAATTCATTTCCTCGTTCCTTTAAACTTTGCGTGGTGGAGGTGCATGTAGTGCATATGACACGGATTTGCAGGTACGCCATGAGATCTATCTCTTTATGAAGAGGTGAGGTTCTGTAGAGATAGAACCAGTGAGTTTCAACTCGATGTTTGACCAGGAAGGCATCCGAGAGTTGAAGGCTGAAACGTTTGAAATTCAAAGCTTCTTCAAAGAGGTAGTTAAGTGTCTGCCACAATCGACCTGTTCTAAACAAACACCAGACTATCATGTATAACTTATGAATATGAATGAATTGGAGTAAACATTCTGGCACAGTTTGACCTCTGTATGGACGAAAATGAATAGGAATGGTCTAAGGATGGGGAGTTCTGGCACACATGCATAGTTTCAGCTTTTGTGAAGGAAGGATCGCACAACGCGTGGAAATGTATGAATATGGAATGTTTAGGGTACGAATTCTGGCAGAGTTTGACCTTTTCCACAAAAAAAATTGCACAACGCGTGGATATGTATGAATATGGAATACGTTTTGGGTTAAATGTGTGGTACAGTTTGACCTTTTGGTGGTAGAAAAGAATCCAAAATGAGATGAAATTGATAATAAAAGAAGATGGTTCACATTTAATGATGTCATGCTGTAGCAGTGGAACATCGACTGGGCACTCTGGAAAGGGGCATTAATCTCAGATAATCCCTTGACAATTATATCGACCGCGTGGTTGGAAGTGTGTATCCCGGAAGATAAATCTGAGATAATTATCCTTTTGAAAATGGACCAAAGAGGACAGGCATGTGCTAATGGTCTTGTGTTCAACTTACCATAGTTGAGGTGTTAATCTGACCGATAGAGGAAGAAGGCCTGGCTGTGGCTGAATTTCTGAATACTTTGAACTGACGTGTTATGTCCTTACCCTATGAACATATGATTTACAACTTCAAATAGAGCAGAGCGTTAATGTAAGTAAATTCGTCCTTATTTTGTTGTAAATGTAAAACAAACATCGTTATACCATAATAATAAAGAACTCAATTATTATCCAATGGCGGTGGACAATGTTACTGCCATTTCATATTGGCAGCCGAAGTTTGCAAAACGTTCATATTTGATTGTCCACACGCTTTACTTCGAAATGCGCACCGACTTTGCTCCATCATTAAAATGGGAAGAATTTTCATTGGCTACTTTGTAGTTGCATTATTATCTAGTGTTTTAAAACATGACCAAAACTTCCGAACACTGGGTGCAGTTTTGCCAAAGTACATGTGGAGTTGGAAAAGAAAGGATTATAGCCTTTTACGTTAATATATCAAGAATCATTGGAAAACTAATGAGGAAAATGTATAAAAAACACAGTATTTCTTTAATCACCTTATACCAATTGGACTAGGTGGACTAGCACTACAGTCAATAATGATCATTATAATGGCAACTAATTAACAAATTCTACGCATGCAAGCCGGCGATGAGCGCTTAATGCACACTAGTAACTATGGCAGCAGTCCTATGTTCTTCAAGGTCCAGTGGTTTCGCTGGCAAGAAATTTACCATGGTAATAATAAGACAACTGATGCTAAATGATCCGTGCAGGTTCCACTTACAGCTAAAACGTGCAGCTCATACCACCTGGTGAAAGTCTTCAAGGTTTGTAAATTACACCGCTGGGTTTGCGCATGCAATTCTCAATTTTTCTGTGTGCGATTTTATGTGTATGTACTTTAAAAATATCCTAATATGAGGAAATAAAAATATATATATTAAAGTATCGATAATCTAACTAAATGCAATCTCATCTGACAATTTTGATCTTCTGACCACGTTTTTGATTTCGTTATTACTACGTGTATGGCTATCACCATAGTCTATTACATTAAAATCGATGGCGTTTTCACGAAGTGGTGAATCCATACAAAATCAGCCTTTTGACCAATTTTAGTTTTTTGGATATTCTGACTGTAGTTGATGTCCTTAACATTCCTGCAAAGTTTTAAGACTTGAAAACGTGTAAAATATTGTGCTAATTACACAAATCGGCCGCAATCGCAGATTAGCACTTTCACGATGTGGCAAATTCGGATTCACCACTCCGTGAAAACGCAAACAGGAGAAGTCAAGGATTGCCGCGTTATTAACTTGCAGAATGGCAGTTCAACTCTGCTTTAACTGCCTTCCTTCCAAGAGCAGTATCGACATCTTTGTCTGAGTTAGCGGTTT